AAAAAAAAAAAAAATGTCCACAATAATTTAACATGAAAACCTTCATCCTAGAAAGCATTGCAAGAGAATAAAGACAATCCAATGTAGCAAATGCTTGAACAGCGCCTTGAAACTCAGAATAGTATCCAGCAAATGTCCGCAAGAAATCATCCCACGTGGCTCGACAGACAATAGAGAGTTCCTCTTTTGTCAGAGTTAACTGATCCAGGGCCTTCAATACTTCAGGTGGGTGATATCTAATTGTTTTCTTGGTACTGTTTACTTTAACCCAGTCTGAAGGTACCTTCACATCAAAGGCTAGCTGCAGACAAATGCTTATATGACTGTAGGGTAGTGAAAAACGCAACATACACTAAAAAAAAAATATTAAGGTAATTCCACATAATCATATTGTGGCACATCTTAGGGTGTGATTGGTTATAGACTCAATAAAAAATATAATCAAAACTCAAATTTAACTCAACTTTAACCCAACCCCACTATCATCAATATTATCAATATAATTAAATAATATCAACCAATCATTCTTACACATCACATCAACTTTATTTCACTATTCATTCACTCACGTAATTTTAACTAAACATCATTTCCAATTATTTTTCTCATACTTTTTCATCAAATTAACTTTAATTATTTTATTTTAATTTAAACTTAAGTTCCACTAACAACTAATCATACCACCTTTTTTAAAATTAACTATGGTCTAAGAAAAATCAAAAACTAATCAAATCCACATTCAATAACACCCTTAGTACCTCTATCAAATGTGTGACTCCGGATACACTCGTAAATTCTAGGTTGCTCATGCGCAGTTGTTTTCTATATAAAGGAAGTAATTTATCTAACATTTCATTTGCCGACTGAACCTTGGTCTTTGCAACAGCAACCTACAGAATCAGAATGCACCAAATATCAAAATTCTGAAGGAAATTACAAAAATAGTCCAAATAGTTGCGATAGGCACAGATAAACTCGCCAAACTTCACCTCGGGGAAACTCCCATCAGAGAGTATAAACAGACTGTGAAGATCATTTTGACAGGCAGCTTCTTTGTTAAGTTTCGACAAGAGTTTTGCTGCAGTACCAGTAATATTAGGAGATGATGATGTCATGATCAACTTTCTCAACAGAACAGAGTGCACAGAGGCTCCGCTTTGTAGATTCTTGCTTCTGTCAGCTGTTTCAACGTGGAGTTGCTGAAGCTTTCTTCCAGCAAATGCAATAGCTTGAATAACTGCAATGAACTGATCATATTGCACACAGGAATATCAATCAATTTAATTAAAAAGTTGAATAGTTAATCATACTAAACTATACTATTATAAAAGGATGAATGATTTTATAAAAAATACACAGACTAAAAATCTTGTATTATATTGAAATTTCTTAATTTTTTATTATAATTTTACTATTAAAATTATATTTAGTATAAAGACTTTTTAGTCCTTGAATCTTTTTTACACAATATCTCATCCTTTTGATGATGATGATTATGATCAACATCATCATCATCAATAACAATAACAATAACAATAACAATAACAATAACAATAACAATAACAATAACAATAACAATAACAATAACAATAACAATAACAATAACAACAATAATAATAATAATAATAATAATAATAATAATAATAATAATAATAATAATAATAATAATAATAATAATTTGCACACAGGAAAGCGGTCTTAAATACTCTGAGCAGAAATTGATGGTGCTAGAATATACTTTTTTTACAGTACTAGTTTATTATGAATAAAAATAAATGGCAATTTCCAGGTGTGTAAATAGAATTCCCTGGGAAGCTGCTCCTTTGGCAAATCATAAAATCAAATAATGAATATTATACAGAAGTAGTAATTATCACAATCGGGAAAAAATAAATATAAATGCATAACATGGAATAAATACAGTATTTCATCAATATCAACCTGGAATCAGAAAGAACAATACTTTAGAAAACAAATAAATAAATAAATAAATAAATAAAATGAAAAGCTACATCGTCAAGCACAAAATGATTGCTTATCCATGATAGCTTTGCAGTTCAAATATGAGCATATGCAGGTTGAATAGAGCATTAAGCAAATAAGAACCGTGATGACTAAAATAAGATCAAGATTCAAGATAGAGTGAAAAGCCAAAAGGACACTGGATACCTCGGATGCCGTGGAAGTTCGATGAAAAATCCTTGTAATTCCACGTTGAACATCAGGTCCTCTTCCCAATGTGGTCAAAACAGATGATAGTAAATGATGAAGATCAGGGTGCACGATAGTCACATTAGAATTCTCATCTTCCAAATCGATCTCAGAAGTTTTAGCAGAACCCATGGACTCTAGAATTTCAGAAATGGCATCTAGACGTGCGTATATCATGCTCCTGTCGCATAAAGGATGAGTCACCTGTGAGAAATAATACATAACGTATTATGATAAAAATTTACTAAAACAAAAGGGAACTGGGAAGACAAAAATTTGATTGGTAACTTTGTACCCAGTGTCTGAGAAGCCTCGACCCAAATACGGTCAACGTATGATTCATGCATTGCAAAAGAGAGCCACGCTCAGATCCATCAGAATTATTCTTCAGAACCTACACAAGTGGTAATCTCAAATGACAAAAAAGCACTCGAAAGTTACATAATGTGCTATAACAGTGATTAAGCCACTCACCTCAAGTTGTTGCAGTGCATTAGCTGAAAGGGTCATCTCATTGATGCCAGAGTAGGGCCGAAATGAAGCCCCCAAACACAGAATTCGTTCAAATCCAAATTGTTTCAGATGATGAATGGTTAAGGCTAGTGCTTGAATAGCCAAATCAGGCATAGCCATAATCCCCTTTAGATTGAAATAGATAACAAAAGAAATATCAGTAAGCTCCCCTCTTTATGCCCAAAAACTAAGAGATGGCATGAGCAAGCAAATAATTTCTTGCATAGAAAATATTATAAGGAAAATACATATTTAAATCACACCTCGACCGACAAGGTCTGATTGGTTTGGATATCTGCTGTTGTGACCTTCTGTTGATGACTATTGGTTATATCACTCTGGTTTAAGTTATCATATTGTAATATCACTTCAGCTCGAGCGTCATGGTCGTGTAAGAAATCTTCTGAAGCATACTCAACTCGAACATTTGAGGAAGGCCCAGCATAATCCAATAATAACTAAAGTGGATGATGGGAAGGGAAAGGGGGGAATCACTGTAATAGCAAACTGAGTGACGAAAAAAAAAACTAAAATAACATACAGAACATGAAGACAATTTACAAGTGAAACACACAATAACTCCATAAGGCAAATGCATAACAACCCCACCAATTATAAGCATCAAGACAATGTGCATCTATAAAATACAAAGGATCAAATTCAATTTCCTTCTCTCCCCATTATTGTCATTAAAAATAAAAGAGATAAAAAAAAAAAGAAAAAAGAAAAACAAGTAAAAACATTTTGAGCAGCTAGGTTTATGCACATTCAAAATAGTTCTACAAAATTGATAAAGAATCCATTTCTATAGATACTAGTAATAAATACACGTCTCATAATGCCAAGTTTGTTATGCAACAATACGATACTGACAAAGTTAGAAAATTGATATCACCCATTTTGACATATTATTTCAAACTTGTACCATGAGATGGAACAAAAACATCTATAACCAACTTCTTAAAAATCCATAAGCCAGAGAAATGTTGCTTCACATATTTAATCTCTCACTTTCTTTACAACTTTGATCTCTGTAACTACTACCTATACCGTCTCGATCATCTTTAGTTTCAAAAGAAGTGCTTCACTTCACTTTTAAATTATACAACCACTTCAATTTTTGTAAGACAAGTCAAACCGCAACAAGTCATGGATTTGCGCGACTTTCCAATAATACGACCTACAGACACATCGACAACAAGAAGCACAACTCTCAGTGCAACAATGTACAACTTCTTAAGCAACCAAATTTATCAGCATAATTTCTATATTTCAACCATAATTAAGATTAACAACAAATGAACACTGGAAAAACCACCTTCTCTGTCTGCTTAGACAGGTTCCCTCCAAGAAGCAACTCAACCGGTGACAACTGCAAAATCATAGCTTCCAAACGCGCCCTCATAAAATTATCATCAAACTCCCCATAAACAACATCCCCAGTCGATACCTCGACCCCCACAGCCCCAATCTTCACGTCCAGCTTATTCTCCACATTCCCCACCATTTTCTCCACAACACAGAACAAATAATTATTACGTGGCCCACATCCTTCATCCCCACCCCCCAAATCCTCGGCGGCCTCCAATGTTGCCTTCGTGTACAGCGCTGAAAGTCCACGACAAAATGGGCCCATCTTATTAGACCCGTGGGCCTTAATGGCTGCCGTTTCAGTCTGTTTCACTACTCCCACTTTGTACCCTGCGCTAACAAGCCTCCTCAAGTGCACATTCAACCTGAAAGTGGGCACGCTTGCAGTCAGGAAATTCCGGTCCATGTGGGCGTATATACCGAGTACTCTAGCTGCATTTTCAGCATCTTCCCCGAAAAATCTGTACTTATACCCGACCTCAATCATCAGGAGCACGTCCGGGTACCTATTTTTGAGCTCGACCACTTGTTGCTCCAATGGTGTGTACTTGGGGTTTGGAGTCTGCGAGTAATTGGTGTTTCTGGAAGGTTCGAGGAGGTCCTGGGGAGGTTCCAGAAGCTTGTCGAGGAACTTCCGATGGAGGGTGGGGTTGGGTAGGGGTATTAAATTGGAGTTTTTGCTGGGTGAGGCCGGGTGGCTGAGCTTTTGGGGCTTGTTGTGGAGGGCGTTGAGCTGGCCGGTACGGATGCGTTTGGCCGGGGAAAAGGAGACGGTGGTGGCGATTTTGGGCGGTGGGGTGGAGGGCGGGTTCTGGGGTTGCGGCGGGCCGGGGGTGGTGTAGGCGGAGGGTTTGGGCGCGAAGAAGCGGGAGATTACTTGCTGCTTCTGCTTGCCCATGGAAATGTGGCGACGGCGGGAACACGCGGCGTCTCCGGTTCGTGGCGGTGGTTTTCGCGGTTGTTTGGCGGCTCAGTGCTCTTTGAGCTTCGCGCCTTTCGGTCGCTGTGTAATTGAACCGACTTAAAGTTGAAGAATGAAAAAATGACTAAATCACACAAAATACCAAAGTCGCTTCCGTGCTTCTTCCTCCAAATAAAGATGGAAAACATTTTACCCCTTAAATTTAGTACAATTACAAAATATTGTGTATATACTTGAACCATGAACCATGATCCATGATATAAATTTACAAATGTTTTCAGTTATTGTGTTAAAACAAAATGAATCGTACCTAAATAAGCTGAGTCCGAGCTAATTTAGTTAACGATTAACTCGAATCGATTTTCAGAGCTTGAATCCGAACTTGAGTATCAAAAAGCGAGCTCATTCGGCTCGTTTATCATAAACACATAGTATGATATAACATATTATAGTGTGGTACTCGTGCAACGGACTAGTTTTACTAAGGTAAACATTTCGATTTGGATGGTTGGAAGAACGTAAAACGCATGTATTGGAATAAACAAAATATAATTTTTTATATTATTAAACGCATCCTTGTACACAACATTATTTGTTTGATCTTTTGATACATCGTTCATGACCACAAATTATATTATAATTCGAAATAAGCTTAAATAAATCAATTAATTATTTAGCAGGATATATATGATATTTTGTAAGTGTGTGCAATTATTATTTTATTTTGTAAGTGTATGCAATAAATTTCAAATTTATATTCTAGAGGATTAAACAAACCCAAATTTTTAGAATGTTCCAATTTGATTTCATTTTGAGTTGTAAATTAATATTTTAACTCAATGTTAGGTTTAAAAGAAAGCAAACTAAAGAAAGTAATAGTTAAATGATAATGAATTTTTAATTTTAATTTTCAATTTGAAATTGGGCCCGTTAATACTCTTGAATGAGCTTTTGTATGAATTTTTTGCTAAATCTATTTTTTTTTATGAGTTTAATTATCTTTTTTTATCTTCATGGGCAGAAAAAACAACCCAAAAATTTGAAACATCACATAATTCATTGTTTAGTGTTTAAATTGATCATACATTAATGAAAGTTTGAAGTAGAAACTAAATTATTTGGAATATTTTACAAAACATTATTATTTTTTATCATGCATTTACATCTAAGTTAGATTTAAAGTCAAATTGATTATACACACA